GTGGTTATTAACTTAGCAAAGATGAATATTTAGTCATATATATTTTGATAGTAGCTAATCAACTCCTGCACACGCAATAAACTGCGGCGAGACTAGACTAAGGTGACAGCGAAAAACAGAAAAGCGTAAACCATGGGGGAGAAGGAAAGTTTCGACCCATAAGGGCGAACTCGCTCCGTTGCCATTTTGAGATCAGAAAGGGGAAAGATGAAAATGTCTGTAGTCATTATCATTAGAGTTTACAAAACGACTCAGTTATATTTTTGCCGTTTTTACGCTGTTCTAGTTATTATTTTTCCACTCATATAGTTAACTTCTTATGACACCATATATTCTATTCATATTTTGTAGCTTTCTTTAATATATATATATATATATATATATATGAATATATATGATTTTTCTAAATCCTTATTGGTTTGCTTTTGCTTGGAAGCTGGGCCACATTATATGCTGTCGTCTAAAGCAGGATGTGTTTAGCTTTTTGCTAACAAATTTAAATTATACGGTATTCATCCTCAAGCTTCAGATGGACAAAATCTTATTATGATTTAGTCGATATTTTGAATAGCTCAAATGAAAATATTCAAAGTTGGGTATAAACCAACTTTATTGAGGCTACGGTAGCTTTATTAATTCCCAAACTTTCCTCTTTTTTGTCATCTCCGTTTCAAGGTACTAGCCACAGATATGTCGAAGCACATGAGCCTGCTGGCTGACCTAAAAACTATGGTAGAGACGAAAAAAGTGGCCGGCTCGGGCATTCTTAATCTCGACAATTATACTGACCGAATGCAGGCGAGTTATTCCAAATATTTTCCCATTTATATATCACCTTCATTTCATATTGTATGTATCAATTGCGTTCTCTTTTCCTAATGTCGCTTTCTGGCCAATTTGTTTTCGAATCTCTACTTGACTGATTGATTAATTAAGCGATTACTAATTCTTTTTTTCCTAATTTTAGCTTTCCTAGCCATCTATTTAAATTATCATTATTTTTACAATTATTCCCATTATCATCTCCCTCTCTCTCCCTTGACTGACTGACTCGAGAGTGACTCTAATCTTTTGCAGTTGATTTACTTCGTCTATTAATTTCCTTTACCCATACGGTTTTGATGAATCTTCATCGCATTAATTCAATATCATCTCCTATGCAAATTTTTTTGGTCCTATTTATACAGGGTAACGATATTTTCGTTATCCAAAATTTCGATTAAACTTTATTTTATGTCTAATTCCGCTATTTTATTTTGTGTTGGGATCTGCATAATATCTGTTTATACTCATATGCATCAATTCGGATCTGGCGTCACATCTACTTCTCAGCAGTATATTTAATTTTAAGGGAATCTTTATATTAAATCAGGATTTAACCTTACTCATACAAATTTTTTATTAGATTTCTTGATGTAGGTAAAACATTACAGA